GTAGCTGAGGCGAAGATCACCAGCGCCCAGATCGACGAGGCCCGGGAGCTGTACCGCCCAGCAGCCGCCAGAGCCTCTCTACTCTACTTCATCCTCAACGACCTCCACAAGATCAATCCCATTTATCAGTTCTCGCTCAAGGTAGGATTTCTTTATCAACCACTGAATATTTAACAGTTTTGACTCTCAATATATGGGTTTGATTTAAAGATGATAGACAGGAGTGAATGGAAATGAATGGTTTTTGTGCCTTGAGGAGCTGTTAGAGTGTGAGCAAGGTAATATTTTGTGAAGGGATTCTGTGTGTGGAAACTGGTTAGCCGGACTTGAATCCTGGAGGCGGGAAGTGCAATGCCTTCAGTTTATTACGTATATGTATATATACATATATATATATATATATTATATATATATATATATATGATATATATTATATATATATATATATATATATATATATATATATATTATATATATATATATTTATATATATATATATATATGTATATATACGTATATGCAGGAGATCTACTATTATTTTTAAAATGGTTGTTGTGCATATTGTGATATCACCCGTTTACTGTGATCTTATATATAATCTAAAGCTTTTTCAGTCTCAGTCCTAATATTGAGTCAACTAATAAACAAGTTTACTTAGCAGCGGGGCTCAGGTGACATGTAGTGAGGACTGAGGAAGGAAGCCTCTCTTTGCGATACGCTTACTTTAATAAATGTTCTTTTCCGTATTATACCGGTATCATCATACTATTCACTTTCAGCTGCACAGACAAGGAAACTTTTAATTAGACTTGTTGGAACTTCCGTAGGTTATCAAGACTATGTGGTACAAATAAACCTGTGAAGAGTAAAGATAAAATCTGTACTTGACAAACACAGCTACATCATGGACTCTGGGGATAGAGAATATCTTCACGTTCTACCTAGAGCAAACATTCACTGTAACTTAAAGAGCTTACTATAAGATTAACTACTACTGCCCCTGTCATCACAACTTGATTGCTGAATAGAAAATTGACAAAAGCAACAACCTTCTATACAATGAAATCTTCAGAACCCAACCTAACATAAACTCCACACCAGTTAGAGGAGCAATGCATGAGGCATCCTAACCCTTATTAAAACTAGTATGTGATATATCTATGTATATTGATAATGCTAAACCAAAGCTAAGAAACTATAAACTTTACATAGAATGTTATAAGAACACCTTTAAAATACACTGACAAGCAAGCTCCACCCACAGTGATGTAACTACAGCTGCATTGTTCCACTGTTTCTGCTTGCTAATAAGATACAATATGTGGTTTTAGCATTATGTTAAGAAAACATTCGTCTATTAGGGACTTTGTAGATTCACTACAAACTACATATTGTGCCTTATTAACATACTTGTCAGTATATAATACCATTGATATACATTAATTCAGTCTCACTCGCTAAAAAATACTAATCGTTTCTCCCGACTCTGTATTAGATAAAGCCCTTGGTGAGCGAAACATCTCTCTAGTATAGATACCTAGATGCTGGTATGACACGTGTCACAGTTGGTATCCCTATAGCCGATACGTCGCCTACGGAGGAGGTTTCTTCGAAATACAAGGTGACTTAAATACTGAGAGAACAGAATCAGTGGAGAGGAAGTTATGATCAGTCACTAAGTCTCTACCAGACTGTATGTTTCTCATAGTTATGAAAGATTTACAAAAACTGAGGGACCGACCACCTTAAACTTACTTCAAGTGTGAGGACTTGACCACTTTAAACTTACTTCAAAAGTGAGGACCTGACCACCTTAAACTTACTTCAAGTGTGAGAACTTGACCAGCTTAAACTTATTTCAAGTGTGAGGGCTTGACCAGCTTAAACTTATTTCAAGTGTGAGGACCTGACCACCTTAAACTTACTTCAAGGGTGAGAACTTGACCACCTTAAACTTACTTCAAGTGTGAGGACATGACCACCATAAACTTACTTTAAGGGTGAGGACTTGACCACTTAAAACTTACTTCAAAAGTGAGGACCTGACCACCTTAAACTTACTTCAAGGGTGAGAACTTGACCACCTTAAACTTACTTCAAGTGCGAGGACCTGACCACCTTAAACTTACGTCAACTGGGAGGACTTGACCACCTTAAACTTACTTCAAGTGTGAGGACTTGACCACCTTAAACTTACTTCAAGTGTGAGGACTTGACCACCTTAAACTTACTTCAAGTGTGAGAACTTGACCACCTTAAACTTACTTCAAGTGTGAGAACTTGACCACCTTAAACTTACTACAAGGGTGAGAACTTGACCACCTTAAACTTACTTCAAGTGTGAGAACTTGACCACCTTAAACTTACTTCAAGGGTGAGAACTTGATCACCTTAAACTTACTTCAAGTGTGAGAACTTGACCACCTTAAACTTACTTCAAGGGTGAGAACTTGATCACCTTAAACTTACTTCAAGTGTGAGAACTTGACCAGTGAAATGGTTGTGAAGCAGATAGACAGACTGAAGCAAAATAAGTCACCGGGTCCTGATGAGGTTTTTTCAAAGGTTCTAAAGGAATGCAAAATGGAAGTCTGTGAACCATTAACTAATATTTTTAATTTATCTCTTCAAACAGGTGCAGTGTCTGATATGTGGAAGATGGCTAATGTAATTCCTATTTTTAAAACAGGGGACAAGTCGTTACCATCAAATTACCGCCCAATAAGCCTGACCTCAATTGTAGGCAAATTACTAGAGTCAATTATAGCTGAGATTATAAGAAGCCATCTCGATAAGCATAGCTTGATTAATGATACTCAGCATGGATTCACAAGAGGCCAGTCTTGTCTAACTAATTTATTAACTTTCTTCAGTAAAGCTTTTGAGGCTGTTGACCACGATAAAGAATTTGATATTATTTACTTAGATTTTAGTAAGGCATTTGATAGAGTTCCGCACCAAAGACTGTTGAAGAAAGTAGCAGCTCATGGCATTGGGGGAAGGGTGCTCTCGTGGATCGAATCATGGCTCACAGACAGGAAGCAAAGAGTGTCCATAAATGGGGTTAAATCCGAGTGGGGATCAGTAACAACGTAGATGTTAGGGAACTTCAGGAGGATTTAGACAAACTCTACTCTTGGTCAGAAAAGTGGCAGATGCAGTTCAATGTAGATAAATGCAAGGTTCTGAAGCTCGGGAGTGTCCATAACCCTAGCACTTATAAGTTAAATAATGTAGAACTTAACCATACAGATTGCGAAAAGGACTTGGGGGTTATGGTAAGCAGCAACCTTAAACCAAGACAGCAATGCCTAAGCGTACGTAATAAGGCAAATAGATTACTGGGATTTATATCAAGAAGTGTAAGCAACAGAAGTCCAGAGGTCATACTGCAGCTTTATACATCATTAGTAAGGCCTCACCTAGATTATGCAGCTCAATTCTGGTCTCCATATTACAGAATGGACATAAATTCGTTAGAAAACATTCAGCGTAGGATGACTAAATTAATACATAGCATTAGAAATCTTCCTTATGAAGAAAGATTGAAGACTCTTAAGTTACATTCACTTGTTAGACGAAGAATGAGGGGAGACCTGATCGAAGTGTATAAGTGGAAGATAGGTATTAATAAAGGGGATATCTCTCCAAGAGAGAACCCGCAGTAATGGATTTAAATTAGATAAGTTTAGATTTAGAAAGGACATAGGAAAGTATTGGTTTGGAAATAGGGTAGTTGATGAGTGGAACAGTCTACCTAGTTGGGTTATTGAGGCTAGGACTTTGGGTAGTTTCAAATTTAGGTTGGATAAGTACATGAGTGGGAGGGGTTGGATTTGAGTGGGACTTGCACATCAGAGCTTATTTCTTGGGTAGCATTGAAAATTGGGTTGGTCAAATGTTTGTTAGTGGGATGAATTTTAAAGGACCTGCCTAGTATGGGCCAACAGGCCTGCTGCAGTGTTCCTCCTTTCTTATGTTCTTATGTTCTTAACTTGATCACCTTAAACTTACTTATTCAAGACTGAGGGAATGCTCACCACATATTTACCTAAGCACTTTTTCTCTTGTCTCCATAGTTTATATGTCCTCTGTATTTCGACTGATGGAGCTGTGTGTGCAGGCACAACGCTTTCTAAATAAAGATTCTCAATTGTTGCACGTATATCTTGCTCATCTTCTTGTCGGTATTGAATAATATGGATATAATGATACCCGTGACCTAATGATACCAGCGACATAATGATGACAGTGACATAATGATACCAGTGACATAATGATACCCGTGACATAATGATACCCGTGACATAATGATACCCGTGACATAATGATACCAGTGACATAATGATGACAGTGACATAATGATGACAGTGACATAATGATACCCGTGACATAATGATACCCGTGACATAATGATAACAGTGACATAGCGATGACAGTGACATAATGATGACAGTGACATAATGATATCCTTGACGTAATGATACCCCTGACATAATGATACCCGTGACATAATGATACCAGTGACATAATCATGCCAGTGACATAATGATACCAGTGACGTAATGATACCAGTAACATAATGATACTCGTGACATAATGATACCAATGACATAATGATACCAATGAAATAATAATACCAGTGACATAATGATACCCGTAACATACTGATACCAGTGACACAATGAATAACCAAGACATAATGAAACCATACATATTGACTACCATGACATAATGACACCAGTGACATAATGATACCAGTGACATAATGATACCAGTGACATAATGATGCCAATACCATAATGATACCCGTGACATAATGATACCAATGACTTAATGATACCAGTGACATAATGATACCAGTGACATAATGATACCAGTGACATAATGATACCAGTGACATGATTCCAGTGACATAATGATAACAGTGACATAATGATACCCGTGACATAATGATACCAATGACATAATGATACCAGTGACATAATGATACCCGGAACATAATGATTACCAAGTGACATAATTATATCCAGAGACATAATGATAACCTATGAACATAAGATACCAGTGACATAATGATACCAAAGACATAATGATACCAGTGACATAATGATACCCGTGACATAATGATACCAATGACATAATTATACCAGTGACATAATGATACCTATGACATAATGATACCAGTGACATAATGATACCAATGACATAATGATACCAGTGACATAATGATACCCGTGACATAATGATACCAGTCACATAATGATACCAGTGACATAATGATACCAGTGACATAATGATACCAGTGACATAATAATATCGGTGGCATAATGATACTCGTGACATAATGATACCAGTGACATAATGATGCCAATGACAATGATACCAGTGCATAATGAACCAGTGACATAATGATAACCATTTGAACATAATGATACCGTGACATAATGATACTCGTGACATAATGATACCAATGACATAATGATATCAATGACATAATGATACCCGTGACATAATGATACCAGTGACATAATGATACCAGTGACATAATGATACCAATGACATAATGACACCCGTGACATAATGATACCAATGACATAATAATGATTCGAGTGACACAATAACTTGGGACGTATCGATACCAGAGAATAGATGATACCCGTGAAATAATGATACCCGTGACATAATGATACCCGTAACATAATGATACCAGTGACATAATGATACCAGTGATATAATGGTACCAGTGACATAATGATACCGTGAACATAATGATACCAATGACATAATGATACCAGTGACATGATGATACCAGTGACATAATGATACCAGTGACATAATGATGTCAGTGACATAATGATACCAATGACACAATGATACCAGTGACATAATGATACCAGTGACATAATGATACCAGTGACATAATGATACTAGTGACATGATACCAATGACATAATAATACCAGTGACATAATGGTACCAGTGACATAATGATACTCGTGACATAATGATACCCGTGACATAATGATACCCGTGACATAATGATACCCGTGAGATAATGATACCCGTGTCGCAATGATATCCGTGACATAATGATACCCGTGACATAATGATACCAGTGACATAATGATACCAGTGACATAATGATACCCGTGACATAATGATACTAGTGACATGATGATACCTGTGACATAATGATATCAGTAACTTAATGATACCAGTGACATAATGATACCCGTGACATAATGTAGAGTGGTACCCGTGACATAATGAACCCTGAACATAATGCTACCCGTGCATATTGGTACCAGTGAAATAATTATTACCTGTGATATAATGATACCCGTGACTTAATGATACCAGTGACATAATGATACCAGTGATATAATAATAATACGAGTGAGACAATGATACTTGGAACATAGCGATACCAGTGACCTAATGATACCCGTGACATAATGATACCCGTGACATAATGATACCCAAGCCAAAATGATAACCCGTTAGATAAAGATACCCGTTGGACGTAATGTTAACAGTGACATAATGATACCCATGCCATAATGATACCCGTGAGATAATGATACCCGTGACGTAATGTTAACAGTGACATAATGATACCCGTGACATAATGATACCAGTGTCATAATGATACCCGTGACGTAATGATAACAGCGACATAGTGATACCCATGCCATAATGAAACCTTGAGGATACTGATACCCTGACGTAAGTTAACAGTGACATAATGAAACCCGTGACAATAATGATACCAGTTTCATAAATGATACCCGTGACGTAATGAAAACCGCGACATAATGATACCCATGCCATAATGATACCCGTGAGATAAAGATACCCGTGACGTAATGTTAACATGACATAATGATACCCTTGACAGAAAATAATACCAGAGTCATAATGAAAACCCGAACTGTAATGATAAAAGCGACATAGTGATACCCATGCCATAATGATCCCGTGAGATAATGATACCCCGTTACGTTATTGTTAAAGTGACATAATGATAACCCGTGACATAACTATGATACCAGTGTCATAAATGATACCTCGTGACCGTAATGATGAACAGAGGTCGACATAATGCTACCCCCATGCCATAATGATATGACCCGTGAGATAATGATAAAACCCGGACGTAATTGTTAACAGTGACATAATGATAACACCGAACATAATGAAACCCGTGAGATAATTATAAAACCCGTGACATAATGAACCAGTGTCATAATGATACCCCGTGAACGTAATGATAACATGACATAATGGATACCCATGGTTTCCATATGATGAACGCCGTGAGATAATGATACCCATGACGTAAAGTTAACCGTGACCATAATGATACCCGTGACATAATGATACCCGAGAGGATAATGATACCCGTGACATTATGATACCAGATACATAATGATACCTCCGTATTGGACGTAACGAAAACAGAGGACATAATGATACCCATTCCATAATGAAAAACCTTTAGAAAATGATGCACCCTCGTGACGTAATGTTAACAAGACACAAAAATGATACCCTTGACAAAATGAAAACCCGTGAGATAATGATACCCGAGACAAAATTGATACCAAGTGACATAATGATACACCCGTGATGCGTAATGAAAACAGTGGACATAATGAATGACCCAAGGCATAATGATACCCGTGAGAAATGATACCCCGTGACGTATGATAACCGAGTGATCAAATTGATACCCTTGAATAAAGTTGTACCCTGACATAATGATAACCATGTCATAATGATTTAACCCGTGATATAAAGATACCCGTGAGAATAATGATACCGCGTGACGTAATTTAACATGACATAATGATACCCGTGAGATAATGAAACCCTGACATAATGACACCCAGTGTCATAAATGATACCTACGTGAAGATGAATTATTACCCGTGACGATAATGAATAAACCAGTGTCCATAATGATACCCCGTGAAGATATGATACCCCGTGACGTAAAGTTAACAGTGACATAATGATACCCGTGAGATAATGATGTAACCCGGAACATAATGAAAAACCCGTGAGATAATGAAAACCCGTGACGTAATGAAAACAGTGACATAATGATATACCCTTAACGTAATGATAACCAGTGACATAATGATACCAAGTCATACTGGATACCCCGTGAGATAATGATACACCCGTGACGTAATGTTAACAAGACATAATGATACCCGTGAGTAAATGTTAACAGTGACATAATGATACCCGTGAGGATAATGATAAAACCCGTGACGTTAATGTAAACAGTGACATAAGATACACCTTGACGTAATGTTACAGTGGACAAATATGATGACCCGTGACGAAATTGTTAACAGTGACATACTGATACCCGTGACGTTAAAAAAATGTTTAACCAGAGACATAAATGAAAACCCGAGACCTAAAGTTAACAGTGACAAAATGATACCCGTGACGTAATGTTAACATGAGATAAAGATACCTCGTGACGGTAATGTTAACATTGACATAATGAAACCCACGTGACGTAATGTTGTATTTAACATTGAGATTGATACCCGGTGACGAAAATGTTAACAGTGACATAATGGAAACCCGTGACGTTAATGATCACATAGACTATCAATAACCCAGTGTGACGAAAAGATAACAGTGTACAAAATTATCACGCCTTGATCTAAATTGTTAAACGAGATAACAACTGAAAACCCTGTGACGTCATGTTAAAGAGTGACAAAATGATACCGTGACGAAATGATTGAACAGAGCCATAATGAAACCCGAGACGAACTGTTAACCAGAGAACCAAATGAAACCCTGAAGAAATGTATTAACAGTGACATAATGAAACCCTTTACGTAAAGGTAAACAAGACAAAAATGATGACCATTGACAAATGTAAACAGATTCAATAAGATTACCCGTAGCCGACCATGTACCCCACTTGCGCGCAACAAGGATACCGCGATCCTACCAGAAACCCCACCGAGCCAACCATCACCCCTATCCACCATAACGGAACCAGTGACCACAAGAAACCCGATCCGTACTATAAAACCCGACCCACCAGTGGCACCCCCTATCACGAAAATAAAACCTATGCCAACCTGCTCCCCGATACACATAAACCCCATGTGCTCGTACCAGCAACTGCGATCCTACCAGAACCGCCTAGTCCCACCAGGGGGCTCCCCCTATACTACCATAATCCCCGAGCCTAACATCACCCCCCGATCCGTCCTTTTACCCCTATCCACCCTGTCACCCCCGTGATACTAAAATTAAAACCGTTACCAACTGCAGACCGCTAGACGTACATAAAACAAGCCCCACACCATAACCCCGTGGACGTAAAGAGAACACATAGGACATAAATAATCCCCTCGATGACTTACTGTAAACAAGTGACAAAATGATACCCGATACGTATGTAAAAAATTGTACATAATGATACCCTGACTAAAAGATTAACATTGACCATCAAGCTATCCCCGTAGACGTAAAGTTCACGAGTTGCACCACAGTAACCCGGCGAGACTTAAAGGAACCCATAGAGAAAAATAACACCCAGGCCCTACCATAACGCCCGATCCCACATAACCCCTAGATAACCTGTCTCACACCCAGCCACCCATAACCACGATACCACAATAACACCCCTAGCACTAACAGAAAACACCGAGCCAACAATAACCCCCGAGAGCAACATAAAAAACCCCTATCCGAAATTAAAACAGTGACATACTGATCAAGCCGAGACGAAAAGAGAAACGCATAGCCATCCAGCAACCCGAGAATAACAATAAACCCGTGAGTATATGGTAAACCGAGACCACCAGAACCCCGATACGAACTATAAACAGTGCCAACCAGCAACCCTTATATAAAGGTAACCCGTTACGTAATGAATAAGCAGTGACATAATGATACCCGTGACGAAATGTAAACATGACATAAAAGATACCCGTTGTACGTAATGTAACAGGTGACATAATGATACCCGTGACGTAATGGTTAACAGAGCAAAAATGATACCGGATACGCTGACGTAATGTAAACAGTGACAACAAGAATAACACCGTGACGTAATGTTAAATGACATAAAGAAACCCGTGACGTAATTTTAAACAGTGCCATAAATGGGATGTGACCCTTGATATAATGAAAACCCGTGACTAAATGTTACCAGAGACCAATGATACTCGTGGGTTGACTTTAATGTTTAACAGTGACATAATGATACCCGAGGAAGATAATGATACCCGAGAACGTAATGTATAGTCAAGTGACATATATGATACCCTTGAGATAAAGAAAAAACCCGTGACATAATGATTAACCCGAGAGATAATGGATACCCGTGACGATAAAGTTAACATGCAACATAATGATTAACCCGTGCCGTAATGTTAACAGTAGACCATAATGGATACCCGGAGATTAATGAATACCCTGAGCGTGTAATGATAACAGTGACAATAAAGAAACCCGTGACTAATTAACCAGTGACATAAAGATACCCGTGACGTAATGTTAACATGACCATAATGATACCAGTGACCGTATGTTAACAGTGACATAAAGATACCAGTACGTAAATATAATCATGAACATAAGATACCCGTTTACGTAAAGTTAACAGAGACATAATGATACCCCGTGACGTAATGTTAAACAGTGGACATAATAATGACCCTGACGTAAAGTTACAGTTGACATAATGAATACCCAGTGACGTATTGTTAACAGTGACATCATGATACCAGTACGTATGTAACAGTTTGACATAAGATACCAGTTGACGTAATTGTTAACCAGTGGACCATAATGATACCAAGTGAACTTAAGTTAACAGTGACATAATGATAACCCCGTGACGTAATTTAACAGTGACATAATGATACCAAGTGACGTAATGTAAACAGTGACATAAAGATAACCCTTGACGTAATATTTAACAGAGACATAATGATAACCCGTGACGGTAATGTTAACAGTGACTAATTGATAACCAGGTGACGAAATGGTATAACATGACATAGTGATACCGAGTGACGTAATGATTTTAACAGTGACAAAAATACCATAGCCGTAATGTTAACAGTGACATAAATATGACCAGTGGACGGTAATTGTTAACAGAGACATAAATGATTACCAGTGACGAAAAGTTAACAGACATAGGCCGGTGAATACCAGAGTGACGTAATGTTCACACAGAGACATCCATGCACCCATATGCCTGACCTTAACCCGGCATAGCCATACATCACCCCGAGACGTTAAAAGATCCCATAGCCCAACAGAAACCTAGAGACCGAAAAGAAAACATATACAGACAGATACCAGAGACGAAAAGATACCAGAGACCTCAATAAACCCGAGACTAAAGAAAACAGAGACCAACAGCAACCCCTAGACGAAAATGAAACCCGATCCAACAGATGAAAACCCGAGTCACGAGAAATGAAAACAGAGACATAATGATAACCCAGACGAATGTAAACAGTTACAAAAAATATACCCTGACGTAAATTTAAAGACAAGACATAATGATGAACCAGAGACGTAAAAATTAACAGAGACCATAGTGAAAACCAGTGACGAACATGTTAAAACAGTGACCTAATGAATACCCGTGACGAAATGTTAACGTGACATAAGATACCCGTGACGTAAACAGAGTGACATAAATGATACCCGTTGACGTTAATGTTTAACATTGACAATAATGATACCGTGACGTAATTTAAACAGTGACATAATGATACCCGTTGACGAAACGATTGGACCTAAGATACCCGTGACGGTACACATTGGGACCATAAAGATACCCGTGACGTAAACAGTGACCAACATTATACCATGTGACCGGTATTGTTATAACAGAGACAACTAATGATACCCGAGAGAAAGGTAAACATTACAAAATGAAACCCCCGTGACAGTTAGAACCAGTGACATAATGATAACCATTGACTGGCTAATGTTAACAGTGACATAATGAAACCCGTGACGTAATGTAAACCAGTGACATAAAAATATAGACACCGTGACGTAAACGTGACATAATGATAACCCGTGACGTAATGTTACAGTGACATAATGAAACCAGGACGTATGATAACAGTGACATGAATATACCAGTGCCGAAATGTAAACAGTGACAAATGATACCCGTGACGTAATGGTTATTAACAGTGACAAAGTAATGATACTCCCGAGAACGTAAACAGTGACAATAATGAACCCGTGACGTAATGTTAACAGTGACATAATGATACCCGTGACGTAAACAGTGACATAATGATACCCGTGACGTAATGTTAACAGTGACATAATGATACCCGTGACGTAATGTTTAACGTGGGACAAATGATACCAGTGCGTCAACCAGTGAACATAAAATGATACCCGAGGACGTAAACAGTGACATGAATTAATACCCCGTGGACGAATGTTACCAAGGACATAAATGATACATTGACGTATCAATGTTAACAGTGTGGACGATAATGAAACCCGTGGAGATAATGATACCGATATGACGTTAAAAATAAAGAAAATGTTTAACAGAGACATAATGAACACCCTGTGAGATAATGATACCCGTGACGTAATGTTAACAGTGACATAATGATAAACCCGATTTGGCGTCGGTACGTTAACATGACATAATGATAACCCGTGAGATAATGATAACCCGTGAGCGTACTGTTAACAGTGACATAATGATACCCTGACGTAATGTAAACCAGTGACTAATGATACCGTGAGATAAAGATACCCGGTGACTTAGATGTTAACAGTGAAATAATGATACCCGTGACGTAAAATGTTAACCAGTGACAAAATTGATACCCGTGAGATAATGATACCCGTGGACGTAATGTTAAACAGTGATCGATAAAGTATAACCCGTGATCGTAATGTTACACAAGACATAAAGATACACGTGACGTATTGTTAACAGTGACATCTGATACCCTGAACGTACTGTTTAACAGTGGACATAATGATACCCGTGACGTAATGTATACAGTGACATAAGATTAACCCCGGGATTACGTAAAGTTTAACAGTGACATAAGATACCCGTGACGTAATGTTAACATGTGACGATAATGATACCCGGGAGATGAAAGATACCCGTGACTTAAATTTAATCAGTGACAAAATGATACTCGTGACGTAATTTAACAGTGACATAATGATACCCGTTAGATAAGGATACCCGTGACGTAATGTAAACATGACATAATGATACCCACCCTGAGATAAATGATACCCGTGACATAATTATACGCCGTGAGAATAATGAAACCCGTGACGTAATGTTAACAGTGACATAATGATACCCGTTACGTAATGTTGAACCGTGCATAATGAAACCCGTGATATAAAGAAATAATCCCGTGACGTATGTTAAACGTGAGATAAGAGATACCCGTGACGT